AAACAAAGCAATGTAAGAATGAGAAATTAAAAAAACTAATTCTGAATAATATGTGGGAGAGAAAATCTACATTAAAAAAAAGAGCAATTACTGCAATGTATTTGTCATTTGTAATGCGAAATATTAAGCTTAAGCAAAAAAAAACTTTTAAAAATTAATATTAATTAAGAAAATAAATAAAAAAAAAAAAAACAGTCTCGAGGCGAGGCATATAGACTGATATGACTGAGTGGTAGAGACACTCCTGCTGCACTGTACTGCTATTTTTTGTGTACTGCATTCATTTGCACTACTCCATTGCTCTCATTGTTCAAACATTTCTTTACTATTTAATTATTCTTGAAATCCTATTTTTAATAATTTCTTCTTTGCAAAAATAAATCATTCCAAAATTTTTCTCGAAAAGATAAATATTTCCTATACAAGAATTTTTTCCAATTATTTATTTTCATTAATAAATAAATTTCTAAAAGTAAAAATAAAATAAAGAATAAATTTTGGTAAAGTTCTTCATGAGAGAAATGATATTTTAAACTTATTTTCTTCTTTTTTCAAAAAATACCCATTTTTGAAAAAGGAAAATTTTTGGTTCAATGAGAGCAGTGGCAAGGAACGAAAATCGAACAATAAATCGATCACACCCGAGATGCTAAGCGTAGAATCGCTCTGAGCGTTTTTATTAGCGTCGTTTAAAAAATCTGACGAAATTTCGAAAAATGAAACTTGCGTTTAAAGAATGAATTTATTAAAAACAAAAGCAAGTCAAGAAAATAAAAAGAGAGAAAGAAAGAGAGAGAAAGTTGTAGAGCAAGAGAGACGCATACAGATATTATGTACATAATGATAATAGTTTAAGAGAGAAAATGCGAGAATGTGAAAGAAAAAAAGCGAGACGGATCATGTAGATGTAAAATAAGTTTGTAAAGCACACAATGGGAAATCAATGTATAAAAGTCAGTCTTTTTGAAATGCCTGGAATTTCAAAAAAAAAAAGAATCCTATAAATATATATTATACATATATGAGAAATATAAATTAAAAAAAAATTTCATTTCCATATTTTAAAAATAGTCAATAGTAGAGAGAATTTTTCATTTCCTCTTCTTCATATCGAGCAAGATATTTTCTACCGAGAAATATAATATAGGAACACCAGAATATAAAAAAGGCAAAGAGACCGAAAAAAAATATTGTTCCCATTGATTCGCTCTGCTAACACTATTTGCGTTTTTTTTTAAATTCCACATTGTTTAAAAGTAATTCAATTCTCAAGTCAAATTGAGAAAAAATATTGGAAAAATCTCGCAAATAGTTTTTCTTTTTTTGATAAATTTTCGTTTTTTTTTCTATTATTCAATTGTATTTCACAAAAAGAAAAAAATACAAAGTTCGCGTCACCTTCCACAAATTTTTCACGACAGTTGCAGCGAAAGAAATTTTACTTTTGATCCTAACAATTGTTTTTACATTCTTATTTTAAAATTTATAAAATTTCTCTGCAACTTCGTTGAAATGATAAAACCCGCAAATGTTGTATTGTTACCCAGAAATATTGAGTGGTATCTTGAATATTTTATGGGAAAAATATTTACGACAAAACACTTGGAAATAATTTTTCTGTATTTTATTCTCGATCCTGATATTTTACCTCATGTACTGACAGTTTAGAAATAATACCCCAACGCCATACGTACAGGGGTTGGCAGAAGATAAAGAATGTTATTCCAGTGGTATTATTAAAGTTAGTAAAAAAAAAGCGTCGACAATGAGCCGTTGCGTTTGAAATGTTAAAAAAAAATTTTTTTTTGTAAATCGTTTTCTCGTTACAATTCTCTTTATTTATTTTCCCGCTCTTTGCGTGACTACAGACAGTATAAAATATATATATATACATGTTAACAATAACATAACTGTAAAATAATTTTTGTAGAAAGTTTGTTTTTCTATTTTTTAATTTCTACGAAATGGTGAAAAATATTTTATAACTTTTTTTTGTAAAGTAAAATTTTTGTTTAGTAATTTTTTTTTTTTTATACTGTCTGCGGAATTGTATTTTAAATAATTGAAGTTTCGCATTATTCGGGCGATAAAAGTAAATAATATTGTAGCCCTTTAAATGTTTAACTGGATAATTTCATAAATTTCGTCATATTTGACAAATTAGGAGAAAGGAAAATAGAGAGTATAAAGAGATGTGATTAATTTTAATTGTTATTAATTTTAATTATTGTATTGTACTATTAATTATGTTATTGATTAATTGAACGATTAATTAATTAATCCTTATTGGACCGTGCAATATGTACAAAATTTGACTAAATTACCTTTTTATATGAATATTGTAATTAGGCGCAGCGTTGATGAAAAATAAAACAAACAAAAAAAAATATTGTAGAAGAGTTCGAGAGTACTCTGCGTTGAAAAAAAATGAAGATAACCACACTCTTACACACACTCACGTACACGTTAAAAGATAACTAAAAAAACAAAATGAAAAAAAAAGAAAAAAAAAGGTGAGCGAAGCTGTCTGTTGTATATTATTTTTATTTCCACCTTTTTTACATAAAAAAAACAAGCAAGATCGGCATGGACCATGCGATGTATGGATGATATGTTCCAATAGAGTAAATCTTTCAACAAATATAAATGCAACTGTGTTTTTTATTTTTCCCTAAATCCCTTTTTATTTTTTATTTTTGACGAATAAAAAATTCATTTTTTTTTCTCTTTTTGTAATTAATAGTCGTTTATTTTATTCTAATTTTCTAGAAAAATTCAATTTAATTATTCGCAAAATATTTTTTCACATTTCTCTAATAAAAACAAGATTATTCTCAAAAAATTGTAATAAAATTCTTTAAAACATAAAATTTTTCCAATAAAATTCAATTCTAATTTCCAGAAAAGTTCAACTTATTAATTTGCAAAACATTTTTTTTTAATTTTTTCACATATTTCTACAAAATAACGATTATTCTGAAAAAATTGTAAAAAAATTCTTGAGAATATAAAATTTTTTTCAATAAAATAAAACGAAATTTACAATTGTTTGATTATTTTTCAATTACTTGTACGTTCGCGAATTCAATTATTTTTAAAAAATTATAATTATTATTTTTCAAAGACCTAATATGTATTTTCAGAATTTCTAAATTCAATTATTGAAAAATTCAACTTTATAAATAAATACTTAAATATTTATAATAATATATTTTCCCACAGGAGTTAAAATTAAAAATAAATTACAATTTTTTAAATCTTCTGAAACTTTATTATTTCTAAAAATTGCAATTCTAATTCTTTTATTTTAATTATTTTCTACTATTTTCAAACAAAACTTTTTCGTAAGTTTAATAATTTTTTGAAATAAATATTTAACTATAATTAAACTTCTACATCAATTGGAATTTTCAAAAAATTTTAAATTGCAACCTACTGAAATTAATTAATTTTCTAAGATTTTCAATTCAAATTCTTTTCTAAATGGATTATTTTTTTTTAACAAAAATTTAATAACTTTGTAAAATTATTTAATAATTTTAAGAAAGTTCTTTAAGATTTTAATTATTCAAAAAAAAGAAGAAAAGTTCATTTAAAATACGTCTAAAATTCAGTTTTTTCAAATGAATTTAGTAAATGAATTTTACAAATTATAATTAAATTTTAGAAATTTTTGATTACCTATTAGAAATTTTTTAATTGATTATTATATTTTCAAAAATTGAATAGAATTACTAATAACTGATTAATTTAAAAAAAATTTTTAGATTAAATGATTATAAATTTATGCATTTAAATAAATTAAATTATATTTTAAATTCTTAGCTGAAATTATACAAAATTAAAAAAAAAATCAATTAAAAACCTTCTGACATTTAATATTTCCAAAAATTCAATTTGAAAGCTTCTAAAATTTAATTATTTCCAAAAATTTCTTTCAGTATTATTGAATTATTTTCTAGAATTTTTAAACATTCTTTTCTAAATCAATTATTATTTTTAATAATTTTCAAAAAGTTCTCTAAGAATTCAATTATTCAAAACAAAATTCACATAAAACAGAAATTAAAATTGAATTGTTTTCAATTCTATTTTAACGAAATTTCAATAATTCGAAAAACTTGCAGAAAAATATAAGACAATTTTAGACGAAAATATTTGACTATGGTTATTTTTCACAATTTAAAAATCAAGATAAGTAGCATTTTATACTAAAAAAAGTTGGTATTTTGTTGAAATGTGTAGAAAAAAGTCGGAATCGTTTCATTTTTTTAAAATTAGTCGAAAAAAATTGTATTTTTTGAAAATAGTCGAAAAACTATTATCCGAGACTTAAACTTCTCTTAACCACATCTCTTTGTTTAATAAACGAAAAATTAGAAATTTCTTTTTTAATAAAAATATAAACGGAGAAGAAAAATAATCGAAATTTTCAATTCAGCAAAAAGATTTATTTATAACCTTTTTTTTTACCGAATTCTTACATCTAAATCTACTGTTTTTCGGCGAACACGCAGCACAAACTGTATTTTTCTCATCAAATACAGAGAAGATTGAAAAAACATTTCTTTAAATTAGCGAAAAAATGAAAAATCTACTTTACCCTATTTTTATAAATAGCAAAAAGTGTATTTCATTTCTTAGCGAAAATGTATATTAGTAAATATATTTTGGCAGTAATGACATTTTTCTAATTTGTCAGGTTATTATATTTTATCTCAGTAAAAAACTATTATCAATATTTACTTATTTATGAACAAAAAGTGATATTTTAATTTCAATGTTAAATGAATGAATTTGAGATAAATTTGTTACTGAGATTCTCATTATTTAAATCTAGAGATATTAAAGTATATATAACAATTAATTATAAGTAACATTGCGATAGACTAATAAAAAAAACTTATTAATAGGTTTTTTTTCTTTTCAGTAAAAATCAAAATCAATCGTAAATAATTAATTCTTTAAATTTTTTACCACATGAATCTGTGGATATAATTTTTTTTTTAATTCGCCTTTATATTTTAAGTGGATATTAATTTGATTAATTATTAGAATATTTCTCTTTGTGAAAACACTTTTCTAAAAAGTAATGCCATTTTTTTTTTTATCAATTTTCAAAAGACGAATTAAAGGCAGTAGTTTTGATGCAATTCTTTCAGAAAGAGTGATGAATGTAAAAAAGAAGATTGTTTCAAATTTCCAGTGAAACATATTCAAATAATAGTTTAAAGAAAAAAAAACTATACTTATCTCTTACAATCTAATAAAGAACTCTAGAAATTGGTAATAGTTTTAAACATTATCGCTCATTCCGTCGCTTTCCGAAACGAGAGCGCGTTCTAGAATTACACGACCTTCTTTGTATCTTTGGTTTTCATCCGTTGCAAATTCATAAATCCATCCGAGTTTCGAATCACAATTTTTGCAGCTCACATCACGAACCATATGACGTCCTGTTAACATTACTCGATCTTGCACCTCACTGTAAATAAAATTATCTCCTCGTATAAAACAATTCTGACTTGATTGACAATTTAATTAACAGCTATTAATATTTAGTACTTTATTACAAATAAGTTACGAATAATTTAATCGATTCGACATTAATATGAAATTGTATTATAAACCTATAGCAGCAGTGATTTCTAATAACACAAAGAAAAGCTGTTGATAAATGCAGTTTATCCCCAAAAAAACTTTGTTTACAGGTTAGAAAATGAAACAATAGAAGAAAAATTCATTATTACCTATAATTGAGATTGACGACTTTATTAAAAAGAAAAGCTCGTCCAGTTGCACCAGTGAAACGAGTGCTTATCAATTGACCTCTGTTTGTGAGATTTGTGTCGCAAGATGCGCAAGAAAATAGACGAGAGCCTCCAATATGTTCCAGAAAAATGACACCCATTTTCGAAGGAAATTTCTTTGTTATTTAATTCATAAACAACTTTCAGAGACTTTCACAATACACTCAAAATTTTATGAAAACACTCGAAACATCAATGACGAAATTCCAAATCACGATTACTTGTGGTCTTTAGTTGACTTTCATCTTTGTTTTGACATGCAATACGTGTGAGAATGTTTCTATGTGTAAATGTTTAATAGGTTAGGTTGTGTCAGCTGATCTGTCAAATCGTTCTCTTTACGCGAGTTTCTTCATATTTCTTTCAATTTTAAACAAAAATTATTCATTATAACTTCTTATTTGTCCATTCTTTGAATGATAAACAAGCACGTAATGAATAATACCACGATTTTTAGAGAGAATTAATAAAAAATTCTGAACCTCATAGTTAACTTTGTTTTTACTGTGAACTGTACTTTAATCGTCTCAGGGCTGGGTAGTCAAGAGTAAAACCTTTTAATGTAATTCACAACAGTCCATTCTTATTTTTCAAAAATTATTAAAAAATAATGTTAATTTTGGTAATTATTTAATTAGTTCTTGTCAGTAAAAAGAAATTTAAAATATTTTAACAATAATATTAAGTACAAACAATTATTTGTTTTTAAATTAAAATTAGGTATTCTTAAAACTAAAAGAAAGCGTTAAAATAGAATTTTTATACATTTTATTGTGAAATATTTCAGTAAAAAGAAATTTAAAATGTTTAAATCACAAACTATAGTATTATTTAAGTAACAATTTTTATCATTAAGACGATTTGATTCTAAATTAAAGCTGACAAAAAAATAATCGTAATTAATTTTGAGCACATTGGAAGACCCTACGTATGAAATTAATTTTTTTTTTTCAACATTCACTATTTAAAATGCGCATACAGAGATAAATAATTATAGAAAAATAAGTTTTAAAAAACATGTTTTCGAGGAATATGAGAAATATTCTGCGTAAAAAACACTGTTCACGTATTTTAAAACACGATATGCAGAGAAACACTCGGATTTTTTTCACTCAGAGTCACTTATTTTTATTTTGGTTAATATATTCTTTAAAAAGTCATCCAAGATTTCATATTAATTTTTATGTATATGTACAGATTAAAATGACTTTACATTTGTGTGGAATGCAAAAAGTTGCAAATTTTTGTCTCTGTATTTTTTAAAAAATTACTTACATAATAATTAACTAAACAGACTTTTTTTTCTTCTTGAATTGAAATTTTCGAAAGTCTCAATGAAAATTCGAATTATTGTGAAAATTGAATTTTTTTTTGTTTCTAGATTATATCTAACGCTCATTAAAAAAAATGTTTTCTAATGATTAGTTATTAGAGTAATTAGAAACAGAGGGCGCAAAAAATTGCGCACGAGACTGCATGAGAATGAAATGGAGAAAAAAAATTTTGTCCACAGTATTTTTTCTTTCATTCTTCTTCTTTTTTGTGGGAGAAATGAAATAATCATCAGTCGGTTTAGAGTTCATCCTTCTCGTCTAGGTCAATATCACTGAGATCAATATCTTCTTCTTGTGGTGGCTCAGCATCCTTACCGTCCCAAGATTCCGTCTCGTAGATCTTTGGAAGTTCGTTGCCCTTAAGTGGTGCTGTACTACCACGTCCGTAACTTAAGTCTCTGAGAAATTCGTTGATTCCGTCTTTGGAGAAACTTCCCTTAAGAAGGGAATATTTCATTTTCTTGATATTAACTGCCGCTAATGCTGGATAGCCGAAACCTCCGATTTCTAAAGCTTCCTCGATATTTGGCTGAGCTCCAGCTTCGGACCAGATCCATCTGCAAAATTAGGTATTACGTTATTTTTGTTTTTTGTTAGGAAACATAAAAAGAATTGTTAAAAAGAAAAATTGATTATTTACCCCCAAAGTTTCTTCTTGTACTTCTCGCCGAGTGTTTTAAGAACATTTAAATATCCATTTCGACAATCTGACTGACAGTCGAGAATGTGTGGAAGGACAGAAACAATACAAAGAGGTTTGTCTTCGCAGGCTTCTCTTAATTTCTCCTCATTTGTTACTTGTACAATTTCTGGCGCTGGAATGCTCTCTGTCAATTTTTCCATTGCCCAGTTAACAATGTCATTGCTGGTTCGACCGCCATCGTATTCGCTCACTGAATCCGAGTCCTTTTTGCCAGCGGCGAAGAATTTAATTGTTGGGTAGCTGTTCACTCCATACTTGCTTGCCTGTTAATCGCAAAAAAACAAAATTAGAAACAAATAAATAAATAAGAAAATGAATAAAGAAATAAATAAATAAGCAAATAAATAAATAAAAAAAGACATAAATAAATAAAGAAAAAAATAAATAATTAAAGTAAGAAATAAAAGAAAAGTAAATACTTTTCGGTAAATAAATACCTAAATTATGAATATTATTGAAACAATCAAATAATTAAACAGAAAACAAGGAAAATTTAGAGAAAAATCACCTTGAGCGAGTGTACAGTTGCATCGAGAGCTCCTAATTTCACTTTTCCCTTGAGTTCTGAAGCTGCAGCTGCCCAGTGAGGTGCTAAATTTTTGCAATGTCCACACCAGGGTGCATAAAATTCGACTAACCATAAGTCCTCTGATCCCAAGACTAATTTATCGAAATTGTCGTCAGTCAATTCAACAACATCTTTACTATCTTTAGAGTCCTTCTTGTTCGGCGACTGAAAATCGACGATTAATTAGAATTTCGTATTTGTAATTATAAAACTGATACATAACTATTAAAAATAAAAAAAATGTTATAATTAAAAAAAAAACAATTAATAAACTTACCAAAATTTTTTGAACTTTTTGTTGGGCCGCTTTCAATGCACCTTCCGCGATTCCAGCAGCGGTTCTTGGACCATTGTAATCTTCTGGTTTGCCAGCGACGAAAATCTTGATAGTAGGAAAACCACGAATTCCGTATTGTTCCGCTAATGATTTATGGTCATCGGCATTAACTGCACCGACTTTGAGGATATCCTAAAAAATGAAGTTTTTGTTTAATAATAATAATAATTACAATAAATTAATAAATACAATAAAATTTTAACAACTAGGTAATTAAAAATTTGATTATTAAATTCTATTAAAATTTTTAGGAAATAATTGACGCCTTGGATCCAATAACTCGCCCGACGCTCGGAGGAACGCGCAACTGCCAGTCAGTGAGCAGTGAGCGCCTCTGGGCCACTCACTGCTACCCGACTGGTATTAGCGCGTGCCTTCGAGCGTCGGGCGAGTTATTGGATCCAAGGCCTCAATTGTAGTGAAAAAAATTGAATTCCTGCGAAGAATTTTATTATTTATGAAAATAATTGAATTCTTTCGAGAAATTTCACTAAAAATTTTTTTAAAATAATAAAATTCATTTAAGGAATTATATTAAAATATTGAAAATAATTGAATTCTTTCGAGACATTTCGTTAATTTTTTTAATGTAATTGATTTGGTTAACAATTGTAATAGATAATTTTATTAAAATTATTAATGAAAAATTGCATTCTATCGAAAAATTTAAATTTATTGAAAATAATTGAATTGTTTTTGAAGGATTTTTCCAGAATTGTTGAAAATAATTGAATTTAAATAATATTTATGAAAATAATTGTATTCTTTCGCGAAATGTTACAATTGCATTGAAAATAATTGAATTCCTTCGAAACATTCTATTATTTATGAAAATAATTTATTGATTTCCTTAGAAGAATTTTCTTATTATTTATGAAAATATTTTAATCTTGCGAAGAATTCGCTTATTTATGAAAATAATTAAATTCTTACCGAGAATTTTAAAATTCATAAAAATAATTGAATTGTTTCGAAGAATTGTATCTGGATTTTTGAAAATAATTGAATTTTTTGAAGAAATTTTATTAAAAATTTTGAAAATAATGATTTTTTTGAAAGTATTTCATGAAAATTTTTTCAATTCAATTCTTTCAAGAAATTTTATTAAAATTGTATTGAAAATACCTAATTGAATTCTTTTGAAGAATTTTAATAAAATTTTTGAAAATTAATTGTAATTATTTCAGTAAATTAGTTAATAATTTACTTTTTCATTCGGAATATGAAATTATTAAAAAATTAAAGTTGATATTTAAAGATAAAAAATTGTGTAATACAATATTAAATTATAAAATTAACTTTACTCTTCTCTAGAGTATAACTTTTGCAGCTGAATCAATCAATATGAATAAGTAAAATGAATATAATCTTCTGTTGATTTAATCGATTTTTATCAATATTCGCAAATAAATACCTTCAAGGCTGTTGCAGCTTTTTTATATTCGGGTTCTAATTGTTGACAGTGTCCACACCAAGGTGCATAAAATTCAACGACATAAATACCGTTACTTCCCAAAACTTGACTCTTGAAATTGGTTGGATTTAATTCGACTACATCCGTATTTGAATACATACATTGAACACCTGACAGGATTCCCAGCATCAAAATCGCCCACTCTGAAAGCATTTTGTTTCTTTATTGAATATGTTAAATACAAATTAAGTCCTAATTAAAGAAATACTAATTAAGTCGTACTTAGAAACATAATAATTGAGTCATCCTAACTAAAGAAATACTAATTAAATCCTAATTAAATGCAAGTAAATAAAATTAATTCATATTTGAATAAAAAAATCTGTGTAAAACTGAATGTACCAAAAATGTACCTAGAAAAAATGCTTAAATATAATTATATAAAAAGGAATTTTTATATTCGTCTATAAATGTAATAAAATTTTACGAATAAATTATTAGTACCTATGACAACTAAATTAATAATACAAATATAAAAACGTTCTTTTTTATTTTTTTATTATATTTATTTTTTATTGTATTGTAAGGCTGAAGACAGGTGTATAAAACCAATAAATAATAATAAAAACGTTCTAGCGTCTGGAAAGAATACACAAAAAATAGTGAATTTTTGAATTATTTACAAACTGAAGGTTATGTTAGATCCCTCAATTTCCATTGTTTAGAAGAAAAATTGAAAAAATACTCCTCCTTATAAGTATATTTCTAATATATATTTATTTTATAAAAATTACACTATGTTAGATGAAGCATGGCAATAAATAGAAGCCGGTGAGAAGTAAAATATTTGTTTATCAAACTTACCGTGAAACATTTTCGTTGATTTTTTTTAACAATCCGAGATAAACAGTAAACCTTTTGACTTTTTAGGGAAAATTTATGAAATAACGCTGCACTTTCTCATCTACAAATGTTTTTTACCAAATAAAACCTCCGGAGATGAAGCTATTTGTAATATCTACACCACGTCCCACACGTCTATACAGACGAAGCTTTTCGTGGATTGTTCTGATTGGTCGATGTCATCAAAATCAGAAAGGAAAAAAGTGTAGGTGTATTTTTCAATAAGAGAAGGGAGAAATTGTGTTGTAGTATGAGGAAACATTTGTTCTTTCTTTTATTAAATACCGAATATGTTAATTTACTTCTTTTAACTTACGTTTATTGGTAAACGTTAATATTAAAAAAAATACGTGTAATTTTGAATAATGACAATTTTCCCGCTAACTCTTGGTAAATAACGTAAGAAAGAAGTAGCGTACGTTACGTTTAAAGGTTGGGCCACCTAACCTAACCTAACCTTTAAAAGTTAACAAGACTGTCACTTTTCGTATATATACGAAAAATGAAAGAAAATTATTTATATTATTGCAATTCGGAATTTTCTCGAATATGTGTGTAAACATTAAAAAACCTTATATAATGATTTATTGAATTTGACATAAAACTTGGGTTTGGAATTTATTTAATATTCAAAAATGCAACGAGCAAATGTAAGTATTCCTTTGTTTACATATTTTTTGCTGACGTTTTAAAGTAAATAATAAGTTTATTATGATTATATAAATTAATATTGTTATTATTATAATTCTTAATTTCTAGTAGGCAATAGTTTTGTTCATGTTAACTTATATTATAATATTTCATTTCATTTCAATTGTAATGTTTCGTACGTATATTATTCACTGTGTAATATTTCTAAACAATGCAAATATTCTTGTATAGCAAAATGGACCAATTAATATTAATGCAAATCATCAAAGGCAACCGGTTCGAGATATTAGACCACAAGGTTTAAATAATTCCTCAATGTCTGTTTCGGATCAATTGAAGGAGTCTTGGTTTACAGCTATTTTTAGTTCCATACTATTTGCAATTGGCATGTGCCTTCTTTTTTGGAACGAGGTAAATATAAATTATCGCTATTATATATTTTTAAAATTTATCATTATTATTTTTTTATTATTTATTTTTCTTATTTAATAATTATTTCTTCTTTTTATTATTTATCACTAACAAATGATACGCGCGGAACGCGGTATTCCGTATATTATTATTTTGTAAATTAAAAAATTTTATATTTTCAAGAATAAACTTCAATTTTTGAATGATATTACAGATTTAAAATTAAAAGAATTTACTTATTAAGTGCAGAATATGAAATATAATTGTTTATTATTAGGTATTCAACAATTTCAATAAAATTTTTCGCAAGAATTTAATTATTCTCATAAATAATAAAATTATTTGCAAGAATTTCATTATTGTCATGAATAATAAAATTCTTTAAAGCAATTCAATTATTTTTAATACAATTTTAATAAAATTTCTCAAAAGAATACAATTATTTTCATAAATATTATTTAAATTCAATTATATTCAAGAATTTTAATATAAATTCAATTATTTTCGATAATTTTGATAAAATTCTTTTTAAAAAATCATTATTTTTACAATTTTTAATAAAATTTCTTCAAAAAATTCAGATTAAATTCTTCAAAACAATTCAATTATTTTTATGAATTGCAAAATTCTCGGCAAGAATTCAATTATTTTCATAAATAAGAAAATTCCTTGCAAGATTAAAATATTTTCATAATTAAGAAAATTCTTCAAAGGAATTTAATTATTTTCATAAATAATAAAATGTTTCGAAGGAATTCAACTATTTCCAATACAATTTTAATATTTCTTGAAAGAATACAATTATTTACAAAAATATTATTTAAATTAAATTATTTTCAACAATTCTGATAAAATTCTTCGAAACAATTAAATTATTTTTATAAATTGTAAAATTCTTGTCAACAATTCAATTATTTTTGAAAATAATAAAATTCTTCTAAGAATTTTAATTAATTTAATAAAATTTCTAGGAAAAAATTCAATTACATTCAAGATAACTTTAATAAAATTTTTCTAAACAATTCAATTATTCTCAAAAGTTTTTAATAAAATTCTTTGTAAATTTCAATTATTTTCAAAATTTGCAATTAAAATTACTTCAAAAAAATACATTATTTTTACGAAATTTAATGAAATTCTTAAAAAAAATTTAATTTTCAAATTCTTCAATAAATACTTTACAAGAATTCAATGATTATTTCAGTACATCATAGTTTAATTATTTCTGGAAGTAATTTAATTCTTGAATAGAATTTTATTAAAACTTTATTAAATAATTGAATCCCAGCGAAAAAATTTATTATTACTACAAATAATTGAATTTTTGCAAAATTTTAGTAAATAAGCGTATTTTTCAGATGAATTTTATTATAATTGTATTTAAAATAAGTGAATTCCTGTGAAAAATTTACTATTTATTAATAATATTGAATTATTTCAAAGAACTAAAAAAAAATGTTTAAAAAATAATTTAATTTTCCCTGGAATTCGATTAAAATTGTATTTAAAATAATTGAATTCCAGAGAAAATTTCATTACTTATGAAAATAATTGAATTCTTAAACTGAATTTTATTAAAAGTTTTGAAAATAATTGATCTTATGTGAAAAATTAATTTTTTTTTAAATTTTAATTTTTTTCAATTTTTTTTTAATTGAAATTTCTTGCAGAATTTTTACAAGATTTTTTTATTAAAAAAAACTATTATTTTTAAAAAAATTGAAATAAATTTTTTAAGAACAATTCAATTATTTTAAAGGATTTTAATAAAAATCTTGCCAAGAATTAAATTATTTTGAATACAATTTTAATTACATTTTCTCGAAAGAATTTAATTGTTGAAAAAAATGTTGATAAATTTCTTTAAGTGAATTCAATTATTTTCCAATTTTTTGATAAATACTTTGCAAGAATTCAATGATTTTCAGTACATTAATTTTAAAATTGAAAACATTTAAAAGGGAAAATTATTACAAAAGTTAGGAAATAAAAATGCAAGCAGTATCCAAGCAACAAACTTCAAAGATTATTAGTATAGAAGACAGAAGATCAAATTATTTTTATTGTTTAGCATTAGTTTTTCTTTTTATTATTTAACATAATTATTTATTTTTCAGGGTAAAGCTGTGAAAGTAGCACATTCTCTAGACGAGGCATTAAGTAATGTTGTCATATTCTCCAATCCAGACGATTTTGACAATAGTTATGAAGGTCGATTAGTTTATGTCTCAGGACCCGTAGAAGTGACTGAACCTTTAAGTGAACCAGACTATGGAATTATTGTTGACAGTGTAAAATTAAAAAGAAGAGTACAAATGTTCCAATGGGTCGAGATCAAGGAAGAGAGGTATAAAAATATTCCATAATTAATTTTGTATACTTTATAATAATATGTAAATAATTGATATTTTTTTTCTCCAGCAATTACGATTCGTCCGCAGATTATTATTACACGACTGAATGGAAAGATAAATTAATAGATTCCGATCGTTTTTATATTCGTTTTGGACATGAAAATCCAAGAGAAATTGCAATTAAAAGTCAAATACAGATTGCAGATGAAGTTAGAATTGGATCTTTTGTTTTTGGTACGGACCTGAAGAAAAAGTTTAGTGATTATGTTGAAGTTACCAGTGACGAAAGACCTGAAAGAAGGGATATAAAGATGCATTCGGGATTGTATTATCATAGTGACGATTTGTGGAATCCAAAGGTAAGGTAATTTTTGAAAGGAGTAGAATTTTTGAGAGAAGAATTTTTAATTAGAAAATTTCGTATTTTTAGTCTAAAAATATAAGAAATTTTTCATTTTTAATATAAAATTTATATAGGAAATTATTTTCCAGGTTGGGGATATTCGAATACAATTTTCATACGCAGGAAAAGCGGGAGATATTTATTCGATTGTTGGTTTACTTTCGAATGGAAAAATAGAACCGTATGTCACTACTCATGGAGAGGAGGTTTTGCTTCAACGAAAACATGTGGTAACAATAGATCAAATGTTTCATCTCGAGCATGTCAGTAATTATTGGAGAACTTGGAAAATGAGGTAAATTTAATTTTCGTATTAACAATTTCCAAAAATCGTTTTTCTTCATTTTCTAAATATTTTAATTTCTTTCCTTTTTTTTCACAGAGGATTCGGATGGTTTTTTCTCTTCCTGGCGGCAACATTTATGGCAAATATTTTGAAAACAATTGTTCTAAATTCAAATCTCCTGCACAGTTTGATCGATCTGGAATCATTGAATTTATCAGTGTCAATGTCAATAAGTTTATTAGTGGTTGGATTTGCTTGGGTTTGGTATCGACCAATTGTCGGTTTGTGTTTAGCTTTGGCTTCCATTTTACCATTTATGTATGCAACTTTCTTCAAAAATCCTCCAAATCCACAGAGAGATGAATACCGAAGACTTTAAAGTTCGTATGTATGCTTTTTTTCAAGTTTTCCGTACATGACAATTTTTCGAATTCAAATCTTTAAATACAAATTTTTTATCAATAAATAAAGAAAATCGGTTTCTTTACAATTTTCTATATATATATACAATGAAACAAAAATGTGCCAAATCGACGCTGAAAGAATTTGATAATCATTAAAGATTATCGTTAGATTAGATTTGAAAATTTTATACCATGTGCATGTGGAGTGTTTAATTTTATTATTTTTCTGTGATAATTTTCTTTCTACTTAAACAAATTCAAATAGTGAGAGTGACTTTTTCAAGTAAATTTCAAATAAGAAATAACTTTGTGAAAATTAAGGTTTGTGAATTAATAATTTAATTAAACTTGTATATTTATATAAATATATTAAAACTGTATATAGAAAAGTATTAAATTCTGTCTTTAAATATCGCGATCGATTAATAAATACTACTTTAAATACTCTGGTTATTTATGCTTCACTTTTTCTATTTACATACGTACATTAAATTTTTTTTAAACTTTTCTATTTTCGTTTTATTAAATTATTATTTTAATATTTATTTATTTTTACTTTATTATTTACTTTTCCTTTAATTTTTTATTACTTTATTATATACTAAAAAATTGTTTAAAAGAATTAAATTATTTTCAATCCAACTTTAATTACATTTTCTCGAAAGAATTCAATTATTGAAAAAAATGTTGATAAAATTCTTGAAGTGAATTCAATTATTTTCAAATTTTTTAATAAATGATAAATACTTTGCAAGAATTCAATGATTTTTAGTACATTAATTTTAAAATTGAAAATATTTAAAAACGAAAATTATTTCAAAAGTTAGGAAAGAAAAAAGACAAACTGCAAATAGATTACCGGAATAGCTACAAAGATTATCAATATAGATTATTTACTTTTCTTTATTATTTATTACTTTATTATTTATTCCATTATTTATTTACTACTTTATTTATTTTTAAAATATTTAAGGTCAGTACATATTCCACATACTGTAAAAAAACTACTGCACAAAGTTACTCAACCCTGATATGGGTAATCAAAAGACATCAAAAGGTTATGTTGACATTGAATTAAAGATAATTAGAGGAAATTAATTGTGCAACAAAGTTTATCTACGTTCTATATATTTTCAAAATTGACAAAAACGTGTTTAATCTATGAAATTAATATTGAACAGTGTCAGTAAAATTAATAAGAGAACAATGTCAACGCCAATTGAGATTTTATGGAAAGCAGCATTAAAAACATTTACAGGACAAAAAAATGTCGGATATAAATTTTGTCAACAAAATTTCGAGAAATTGTACACTCTCATTAATGAAATTAAAGCTGATGATGTTAAATTAACTCCCGATGTCCTTCGTTACGTACAATTTCAATCGGCACCAATGTGTTTTATTGATATCTTTGAAAATGAGGATATCTCAATTTCTGTTTTTATTTTGAAACATGGAGTTACAATGCCCATACATGATCATCCTGGAATGCATGGTTTATTAAAGGTAAACAAATAAACAAATTTTTGAAATAATTACAATTTCTATATTAAGAAAGATGAATTTAATAAAGGTTTTAATTATTTTTATAGAATTTACTTATTTAGTTATTATTTTATAAAAATACTATAGTAAATGTTACGCGCGTAACGTGATATTCAATTTATTATTATTGTATGCAAATTGCAAAATTTTTTATTTTTAAATAATTTCAGATTCAAACCTTAAAAAAATTCAATTATTAACTAATTTACTAATTAATTATTCTTGTTTATTAATTTAAAAAAAATTTACTAAAATTCTTCACAAGAAGTCAATTATTTTTATAAATAATAACATTCTTTGTAAGAATTTAATTATTATTTTTAATAAATAGTAACATTTTTTGCAAAAATTCAATTATTTTTAAACAAAATTTTAATAAAATTTCACGAACGAATACAATATTAATATTATTTTCTAAAATTTTAATAAATCCATCGAAACAATTCAATGTTATATTTATAAATAGTAAAATTATTTGCAAAAAATCAATTATTTTTAATACGATTTTAATATTTATTGAGAAAAAATTCAATTATTTTCTAAAATTTAATAACATTTCATGAAAGAATTCAATTATAATTATAAAGAGTTAAATTTTGGAAAAAATTCAATTATTTTTAAACAAATTTCACGAAAGAATTCAATTTTTTTCTTAAACCGTTATAAAGTCTACCAAAATTCAATTATTTTCAAAAAAAATTCAAAAAACAATTCAATTTTATTTATAAATAGTAAAATTCTTGTGAAAAATTCAATTATTTTTAATACAATTGTAATAACATTTCATAAAAGAATTCAATTTTAAAAGAATTTTTAATAATATTTTTCGAAAAAATTTAATTATTTTCTTAACTTTTAATAAATCCTTTGAAACAATTCAATTATATTTATAAATAATATTAAAGTTCTTTGCAAAAATTCAATTATTTTCAAAAAAATATCACGAAAGAATAGAATTTTTTTTTAATTCGTTATAGAATTTTTCGAAATAATTCAATTATTTTCTCAAATTTTAATAAAATTCAAGTATTAAATGTTTAATTTCAATTATTAACAAACACGATTATTTTAAAAAACTTGAAAGAAATTGCTCATAAAATTTTATAAACCTTGAAAAAATCAGGGAATTTTGATCGAAATCCTGGAAAACTTATTGTTGTTTTCTAAAATTATTGTATTTATTCTTGAAATCTAATTTCACTTAAATATTTCAAAATTAATTTAATTTTAAAAGAATTGCGTTTACAATTTTCATAAGTAGATGAACTTCAAAAGATTTTGATTTAAAATTTTGTAAAATTTCAAAAACGTTTTGCAAACGTTTTGCAAAAATTCAATTATTTTCAAAAATTTTGATAAAATTCTTGTCAAAATTTCAATTATTTTTAAAAATTTTCCTCATTTCAATGATTTCCAATATCTACTACTTTAATAAAAATTCCTAAAAGAATCCAATTAGTTAAAAAAAATTTTAATAAAATTCTACGCAAACATTTAATTATTTTCATAAATAATAAAACTCAATGCTGAATTTCAATTATTTTTAATACAATTTTAATCGAATTCTTTGAAAAAAGTTATTATTCTTAAAAATTTTTTAAATTTATCAAAGAAATTAAATTTTTTTAATAACTTTTGCTGCAATTTATTTATTAGAATTTAAGTATTATTTTCAATACATTTTTAATTAAATTTCTTTGAAGAAAAAAATTATTTTCAAAAATTTTAATGAAATTCTTTGCGTAACAATTCAATTTTTTTCAAAATAATTTTAATAAAATTCTTCGCAAAAATCAAATTATGTTTAAAAATTTACAAAAATTTCAATTATTATCAAATTTCTCGAATAATGCAATTATTCTTAAAAATTTTATTAAAATTTATCAAGAGAATTCAATGATTTGAAAATTTGTTGATAAAATTCTTTATGAAAATTCAATTTTAAGAAACATTCAATTGTTTAATAAAATATTTATTTTTATAGTTAAATAATTCAATTCTTGTAGAATTTTCTAATAAATATTGATTTAAAAATTAATTTCAAATAAAAATCTTTGAAAATTTGAATTTTTCATACTTTTAATTAAGAATTCTATAGAATTTTTTTTCTCAATAAGTTGAATGAATTTCTTTTTAATTATTTAAAGTTTTTAATTTCTAATATATTTAATTGAAGAATGTCAGAATAATCGAAATTTCGTAAAATTAAATTGTAAACAAAAGAATTTGAAAATTCACAAAGAACTTTTTCAAAAATTATTTTAAAAAAATTGAAGAATTTTAATTGAAAATTCTAGAAATGAATAATCGTAATGATGAAAATAATTTTTGAAGAAGTTACAGTAACAAATTATGAAATTTTAATTATTATAAAACATAAAGAAAGCGATCACTCCGAGTCGAAGACTCTGAGTGATCGATATCTTCATGTTTATAATAATATTTTTATATGTTTTAATATCTTTTAATTTTTAATTTTATTTTTTAATAACTTAATTTCTATAAAAAAATAATTAACAGATTACCGTAACACAACGATTATTAATATAGATTTTATTTTATTGTAATGAATAAAATAAATTTCTTGCGTAAATTTTTCTCGTTTGTTTATAAATAGACGTAATGTTTTGATTTATTTTTATCAACAAGCTGATTATTGTTTCAGGTTCTTAGTGGAGTTGTAAATATAAATAGTTACACAATTCAAAGTGACAGTGATTACCTTGTAAATACCGATAAGAAAATAGAAGCCACGAGTCATGCTACAGAAACAGTCAATAAAAATGATCCAGCTTGTATTTTAACACCTCGCGATAAGAATTTACATGGAATAAGTTGTGTTGAAGGACCAGCGGCATTTTTGGATATTCTCAGTCCTCCGTATAAAGTGGATATGTATGGCCAAGGTGAGAGGCCATGTACTTACTTTAATGTTATTTCATCGAACGAAACGTCGAAAAGTGAGAAAATATCCGATCAAGTACAATTAATTGTAACCCATAGTCCAGAAAATTTTTATTCACAAACTTTAAAATACACCGGACCGACTTTAAGTTGACTCACATCTAATTCAACAAACGAAGAATAGTCATTTAAAGAGATTTCAATCCAAAAGTTGTGTTTTTTCCAAATTCCCAAGAAATAAAATTTCGACTCTTGTATTCTTATTGGTTTGGATGAGTTAGTTTTTTTTATATATATATAATTGTGAATCAAAAATACTATTTAAGTTATTTAATTCAAGACATTCCTGAAGAATGCCTTATTTTTTTTTACTATTAAAAAATTATTTTTTGTTTTATTTTTGTACCAAAGCATAGGAAATTTATTCCAAATATTAAAAGAGCTTCTTTACAAGATTTGTATATTAACATAATTTCTATATTATGATTGATTTCGATTAAGTTACCTTTAAATTGGGCTATGCGAAAAATTATTTCTAATAAATTAGCGATAATCTATAATATTGTACTTAATGTGTAATAATGTAAATTTTTAAACATTAAAAATGAAGCTACTAATTTTTAATTACTCCTAGAAAAACATTTCTATTATTTAACATTTTATTTTATTTTATTTTATTTTATTTTATTTTATAAATAATAAACGTAAAAGGATGAATGCTATTTGAATAAAAAGTATGAAAAAAACGGAAATGTACTTAATCAAAGCACTTTAATAAAGTGATTTTATTGCTTTGATATTGATTTTTAATAAATACATTTTTACATCACTTTTCGTGCATATTTTTACAATTCTTTTCTTTCAACAGAACATTAAATATTGTTTTAATTTAAAAGTAACGAGTAAAAATTTTCTTGTATTTACAAGGTATTAATTAAATTTAAAAGGAACGTGCAATTTCAGTTAATTTTGCATTAATAGGAAAAATTATTTTAATTAAGAAATTAATGCAAATTAAATTCAAAATGTTAGAACAATTTGTTGACTGCTTTTTTTCGTTGATAAAAGTAAACTCATAAAATATTAATACTTTTTCAAAAACGATACTTTTTTACATCGTTGTGGAGTCACGTTTGTTACATGACCAAATTCGAATCTTATTCTGAGTTCACCAATTTTTGAAATCGGCAAAATATCCGGAATCCATTCAATTAGAAATGGTGTTGGATCCACTTGACTTGGAGAAGTATTTCCTAAAATAGAAAAAAAATTATTATTGGCAACAGAGAAATTTTATAGACAATAAAAAAATGATAAAAATAAATAATTGCAAAAATTATTCTCTAGCTTTAATTAATTGAAAAAACACTCACCAACTTTTAAATATGTTTTCAATTCCATGGGTTTAATCAGAGCGCTGTTTACTGTCTTTTTATAACGATCAATATCAGTTTCCTCTCTTTTATACAATTGATAAGAACCATCTGCATTTTGAATGAAACTTCTCGTTATTTCCAATGAAATTAAAGGTGTTTCAAAAATACTCTTCACGTGTAAAATATTTGTTATTTGCCACGTGTATTTTGTAAAAGTACCAATAGGCACACCGTCTTTTCGAACAAACGATGTCGTTGAATTTGGTAAACGTTTCTTTTTCGCCCCGCAAGATATTCTCTCACGAAGACATTCGAAAAATTTCTGTGGCACATGAAATACAAGTGGATCTGGTTTTCCACTGCACTGATAATGCATTGTTTCATTAATTCTCTCGGTTACAGAGGCGAGCCAATTGATAAACGATTGATTTGTTTTATTTTCATCAATTAATTCATTTGAACACTGATATTTTTTTGCATTAATTGTTTTTGTCTTCACTCTTTTTGGCTCAATCGATTTTAAATTATTAATACTTATTGTATTCATCGATGGCGATTCAATTCTCTTTCGTTTCATTGAATTTCCAATTCTTGGATTAACAATTTTAGTAATTTCTGTATCGCATTCAATTAGTGAATTTCTATCGATTATTCGTATACTATTTTCGGGAATTATATTTTCACTTAGAATTCTAATACTATTGCCATCGAGAAGAACATTTGTGTCGAGAAATTTGACATTGTTGGTATTTATTATTTCAAAACTATCGTCTATAACACATTCACTGCTATTTACTTGGTCTAATTTTTCTAGTATTGCTTGGTCGCTTATTATTTTTACTGTACTTCCGTCGAAAACGGCATTTTGATCTATTATCTCTAAATTGTGTACCTGAAAAAAGGGAAAATTGTTTTTTAAATTTATTATTTTTGATTTTTTGTTATTAACAAAATCGATTATATTAAAAAAAATTAACGAAATGCTTTGAAAGAATTCCATATTTTAATAAAATTCCTTGAATAAATTTTATTATTTTAAACAATTTTTAATTAAATTTCTCGAAAGAATTAAATTATTTTTTAAAATAATAAAATCCTTCACAGGAGTTCAATTATTTTAAATAATAAATTTCGTTGCAAGAATTTAATTACTTTTAGTTCAGACACAAAAAAAGTCGCTTTAGTCGATTAAAAATACAAAAAAGTCGAAAAAGTCGTTTATTTAACTCAGTGTTGCAAACAAAATTTTATCTTGTAACTGTAATAATTATTGTCCATGTTTTTTTAAATTGAGATTTGATAAAATTTCACAATTTTTGCAATTAAATTTCTTCAAAAAGTTGATTTTCAAAAATTGGAATAATTAATAAATAATACATACATGAAAAAAATCAATTATTTTCAATTAAATTTTACAAAATTTCAATTATTCCAAATTTTATTAATTGTATATTTCGAAAATTTAATTAAAAAAAATTATTCATAAATAATTTTTGAAAGATTTGTCTATAGTTATTTTTCATACTAGAAAAATCGAAATAATTTGTAATTTGTACTAGAAAATGTGGTATTTTGTTGCAATATTTGAAAGAAAAGTCGAAAAAGTTGCAATTTTTGAAAATAAGTCGAAAAATTCATAATATCCGAGGCCTGAGATTATTAATAAAGAAAAATTATCCGAATACCTGTGAGATAACATTGGAATCGGCGAAAAAATGTTGCTCGCTTATTCTGTTATTTTCGTTAATATTTTCAGAGAGCATGGCAGCGTCCAAATTTACGGTATTCAAATTTCCTTCTATATTGTGTACCGTAAATTCATCATCTCGTAATATTAATAAATGCGCATTTTCAGTTGGTCCCTCATCGTCATCTAAAATAAAAGGAAAATAATAAATTTGAGAAAAAATAGTTTTGAAATTGCAAAATTGAAATTTATTTAGAATAAATAACGAATAATAATTAATTAATTAATTACCCATGCTGATAAATCTTTCACTTTCATTAGATCGAAGATTTGAGCCAAGTGGCTTTGGTACAGTCGGATACGAATGATCAAGATTGATGTAATATTCAAATTCTTCTGATAATTTATCATCGCTCGCGAAAGCACAAATACATGCATAAAAATGAACACACCGGATATTGTGATTTTTACTGTTAACGTCAACCTTATGTGAAGTCCTCGAGTCCTGTTTTAATTTAACGAAATTATGATTAATTGAAAGCTTTTTTTTAAATTTAAAATTTCTTTCTTTGAGTTTACCTGAAAATTACCGCAACTGCAAAAAAATCGATGTTCCACTTTGTCTCTTACTTTGATCATAAAAAACGAAAAGTGCAAATATCCCAAAGGATGTTTGGAAGTTGCTTTACATTTAACGACCATCATGTGCTTCGATACTCTTTGTACGAGAGGTCCCGATGTCTCTGTTGCCAATAGCCATATTTCTTGTTTTATTTCGTTACTGACATTCAAAGACAACAATACTGAGTTTCTTAATGTTAAAGGCTGAGCCTCGGCGTAACATCGTAATGCTGCTTGAATATGCTGACAATCCGCTAATGGTTTTTGAACTTCTTTCCCCTGTGAAACATTTTTTTTTAATTTTAAAATTAATTTTAATAAATTTAAAAATTTTTAATACTTCATTTCAGGGTTGCCACAAAACATGGATTTTAAAATTCCATGACTTTTTCAAATTTTCCAGATCATTATTATTTAAAAAATTCCAGACCCAAAAATAAAATTGTTTTGATAAATTTTTATCTAATTAAGACAAAACATATGAAATCCTTTATATCAAGTAAATTATTAATAACATAAGGTATTAACTTTTAATTTTATAAATTTTATAAATAATTAAACTAAAAACTAAAAATTAAATTTTTTTATTAATTATAAAGCAAGAAGTTATTCGGAGTGATCAATTTCTTCATGATTTATAATAATTAAAGATGTCAAATTGATTAAATTATTATTTTATATTCTAAGAATATTATACTTTTTGAAAATTATTTTCATCATTTCAATTCTCATAAAAAATGTTATCAACTCATTTTTAAATTATTGAATTCTTCCTACGATTTTTAATAAATTTTTTAAGAATAATTACCTTTTTCGAGGAATTGGATTAAAATTTTATTAAAAATAATTGAAATCCTGCGATGAATTTTATTATTTATGAAAATAGTTGAATTATTGCGAAGAAATTTATAAAAAAAATTTGTAAATAATTGAATTCCTGTGAAATTTTTATTATTTTATAAAAATAATTAAATGATTGCGTAGAATTTTATTAAAATTTTTTTTAAATAATTGAATTCTTTTGGGAAATTATATTAAAATAGTAAAAATTGAAAATCATTGACTTCATTAAAATTTTTGAAAATAATTGAATTTCGGAGAAGAATTTTATTATTTCTAAAGATAATTGCAATATTTTAAAGAGAATTTTGAAAAAAATTTTAACATAATTCCCAGGTCTGTGGCAACCCTGTTAATTGTATTTTCAAACGAAAAAAAATATATTATTAATTTTTATACAAACCAAAACATTTCTATCGAATCTTCGTTCACAACCATTTATAAAGCAAAGTGATGTCGATAGAGTTAAATTTATAATTTCTCCACTATTTAAAGGTAATTGAACGAAACCTCGATAATCGGGATCTTTATCACGTGCTCGTACGGAAAATATTTGAGTAGTTGAGCCTGTTATTAATTTGGAAGCTTCTGTTGATAATTTTCGTTTTTCCCCAGCCTCTTTAAATACTGCATCGCAGTATTTATTTTTACAACAATAACCCCTTGAACCATTGTAGGTTCCACATTTAGGGCATTTACGCACTCCTCGCAATGTTGCCTTTCCAAGATCCGATAAAATTGATTTCAAACGCTCCTCACTTGCCATTTGTACTAAAAAACTGAAGAATTTTCTATTATAAAAAATGTAATCAAGTTTTATCAAAATTGTGCACAAAAAAGCAAAAACTTATTCATAAAAATGCCAATTTCAATTTAGAAACATAACCTCAAAAGTCACAATAATAAAATGAATAAAATCGAATAAAATGATTAATTATTAAGTTTTGTTTTTCAATAGTCCAAAAATTGCTTACTAAAAAATAAATCATAAAGAGTTTAGAAATATCTCAGAATGAAACTTACCCGTTGATTGTAAATTCGGAATTTTTTATTCTTTCACGAAATTTTTAAGAATCATTCAAAATTTTGGGTGAAAATTAAAAATTAAGAACTCGTTTTTGACAAGAAAAAAAATGTAAATGTATGTAAACTGGAAAAGATAATCAGCTGATCATTCAAGTTTGTTTTCATTTCTCCCATTGCGAGAACTAGAGCGAAGAGCGAACGGAAGATGAAGCAAAGGTATTAAAACTCGTAGATGGTGCATTGACTTCCTTTTTACAAACACATGTAATGTTAATTAATCGTAAATAATAAAGACTTCTTCCGTAGATTTATTACTTTTCCTAAAAACCAATTATTAATGGAATGAAACAAATTTTCCGAATTTATGGGATTTATTTAATTTATTTAACAATTTTGAGGTATTTAAAATATTTCATTCTCACTTGAAAGCGGAAATAGGTATGACTCCATTTTTGCAAACTACGATTGTCAAGAGAAAGAGAATATTAATTATCCAATGAAATTGCAGTTGAGAATTGAGGCGGGAGTAAGAATGAGAATGATTGGTTGATACATGGGGAGAATTTAAAATTTCTACTTCCCACAGTGACCACAATGCGCTCGATGTCACTGGTATCGGTTGTAAATTTCTTCGCTTCCTTCTTTCCGTCGACACACTGTGAACACACGCTTCGACGCTCTGTCGCTTAACACATAGTTTTAACGCGTCTAGTATACAAGAATCCTTTTTTATCTAACTAATCGACATGGCAGAGGAATATTTATACGGTAAATATTGCAAGTTGTGTGAATCGGGAGTCCGAGATTACTTTATTAAGTTCGAATTTCAATTACTTTCTTCTCGTCAGCCATTAAAATTTTGCGGTGCTCTGGTCGCAAGACGCCGGCAGGCGTTTCGGCCATTGTGACTAGCCCCATTGTGTGGACCGCTTGGCTAGACGATTTAAGAATTTACATCTCTTATTAATAATAATTAATGTGAGAATTCTATATTGTGATTTGTGTGTTCAGGAATCACCCTCGAAGGACCCAACGCCTCTGAAGTATGGGATCCAGAACACAGAGCAGATGATCCTGACGGCACAAGTCAGCACTTTGGTGGCGACCAGAAACTCATTATTAAAATGGTAAGTGAACTTGAAAATTCGTCCCTTAAAAGAAGGATTTGTTTTAGCAAAATTTCGGAGTATATTTTTTCCCCTCTTTTGAGCGTCTTTTGTCTGTATTTACCATTCTAGGTTTCTTTCAAACATTTCTATTGTTATACTTTTTTTAACGCGTTTTTTTAATTGTCTTCAAGTATTGAAAATTAAGTTTCAAGCTTACTTTCAAGTGTTATTTCTATCTAGCATTGTTAATTGCCAGGTGTAGTGTTGCACTAGGTGTAGGGATTTGAAACTAATGGGAATTTACGCGCCAAGAAATAGTTCCGCATTTTTTTTTCTGTTAGCGTATTTTTTTTCTATTTGTAATTATAAATAATTTTAGTGTCTTATTTTTTTGTTTGTGTGTTTGGAGCATCTCTCTTTTGTTCATAAATAACAGGTTTGCGTGATTTTCTGTAGTTAATGAGGGTTGTAAAAATTTTAATTACAAGAAGGGGAGTTCTATAATCAATGAAAATTTGTTATGTTGGTATGTGTGATATGTATTCATACTTGGCGCCATTTTTACTAGAATGGCTGCCAGCTACTTCCCTTTTTTTTCTTTTTCAAAGGCCTTGCGAGGAGAATTAATAAGTTGGCATCGCAATAAAATGCCGGGAAATATTTAATTTTTAACCGAGAATTAAAACAAATTCCCGAAAATTAAATTTACTAAGAAATTGGTTGGTATCTTTTGTAAATATATTTCAGCATCTTATGAAATTTTCAGGTACAAACTCCAATAGAGATAAATTGTCTATTAAAATCCGTTCGGACAATTTCTATTAATTTGCAAATAATTTTGATGCTTTTACTTTCTTCTTCATTTTCGAAAAATTTATTTTCTAAAAACAACTAATTTTGGATTTTTCTTTTTTTTTTTAAACTAAAATATCTGTGATTTATTTCCTGGTCCAGATAATAGATTTTAATTTTTGTAAAAATAAAAACGGTTAGTTTTCGAAAATTAATTTGTTAATTTTACAGGCACTTCTTGGACCAGAAGCTAAGCCAGGTGAATTAAATGTTTTGGAAGTCGAAGCAACTGGACTGAGAGGACCCATCAAAATCCCAATAGCTTTACTCGAAATGGGCAAGACTTCACAGATTATTCTTGACTTAAGTTTTCCTGACCCACCAGTTACATTCACATTGGTTAAGGGAAGTGGACCCGTTCACATAGTTGGACACAATCTTCTTGGTAAGAAACAACAAAAAAATACATAAATTTCAAAATAAATTAATTAAAAATACATAATTTCTCTATATGAATTTCTGTCTTATCAAACTTTACTTATATTTACAAATTACATTGTTTTGAAAATTATTTATTTGAATCATTCATTATTAAATTATTTTTTAAAAAATATTAAATTTTAATTTTAAATTTGCATTTTTTTCCTTTTTGACAATTAAAATTTATCTACAGTTTGAAAAATGTAGATAATGTAAATGTTTCGTTTTTTTAAAACTTTGAACATTTTCAGGCTCGCACATTGAAGAATTCGAAGATATGGAAGATATGGAAGACGAAATGGAGGAAGAAAATATTGACGATGAGGATGACGAGAAGGTAATGTATTAATTTCAAAACAAAATTAAATTTGCGTACTTCCTTTTTTTCGAAAGACTGGACAGTAATTGATAAATTTTTCAAATTGAACTATTTCTTTATGTCTAGCAATTTGCTCTCTAAATTTTCTAAATTCAGACAATAAATCATCATTTCTCTAGATTATAAATTTTATAACGAGAAAATATTTCTTTTCATAATTTTTAATTATTTTTTAAGTTGTTTCAAGATGACATAGAAATTTCATTTTTTTTTTGTTTATATGAGAATGGAATAGAATTTTTGAAATGCTAATCTTCAAGCATTTGGACAATAGTTAAAATTGTCGGCGTTTATGGCTCGTCACCAAATCGATGAAAAAATTTTTTTTTCTTTATTTTTTCATTTCCCTCATTGATTTCCCATTCCCTGCATATTGTGTTATTGATTTGGGACTTTTAGACGATTTCTTTTGATTCGTTACTTTTCATGTGTGGAAAGGAAAAATTTCAAAAAACTAAAAAGAAAGGAAATATCTTCGTATCAAAATCTATAGGGCGGTTTTTTTTTCTAAACAAATTTTTAGGGCAAATTTTTTTGATGTGCATGGAAGGGAAATCACATTTTCCATTATGAAATTAATTAAAAATGATTTGCTAAAATGAAAACCCTTAGTAAATTGTTTATTTTCTAATGTATCTTGAAACTTAATTCTCTCTTTCTTTTTTTTTGAGATTAGTTATCTATATTTATTCCTTTTTTTTTCTTGAAAACGTGAAGTATATAAATCAGAAATAAAAATTTCAGGCACCACAAAAGAAAAGAAAGCCAACCGCAGAGGCTAAAAAAAATGGCACCAAACGCCCAAAGGTGGACGAAGCAGTAGATAAGTGATGTGTTAGGAAATCCATTCCGTATTATTAATTTTAATAGCGTACATGGATAAGTTTAACATTAAAATAAAAAAAACCGTCTATTAATAAACGATAAAACGCCGTGTTAAAAACAAAAGAAACTTCAAAGAAGCAAAACTGATCGTCATAGAAGATCCTTTATAGATGTACCTCCCTCGTTTTATCCTGCATTTTAATTTAGATTTGTTATCTCCATTCTTTTTTTGTACAATAAATCATCATATTCGAAAAGAATGCTGTGCACGATTTCATTCAGTCATAAAATACACTTCACATTAATTCTTCACTGAAAAAAAAAATTCGTCTTGGTGACGTGCCGTTTTTAATCATCCGACAACAATCAAGAACTGACAGTCGAATTTCTACCTGTTGAGATTATTAATTTCGTCAATTTCTTCACGTCGTTTTCGAATAATGAAAACGATTTGCAGTGCAACATTTCAAGATGAAAAATTATTTTTACCTAAAAAGATTTATTTAAATTCGTATGTAATTGAAATTTACTATTTTTTCAAAGACGTGACAAAAAAATTAATTATTTTTTTACTTACAAATTTTATTTAAATTGTCAGTTTTCTATTTGAAAATTGAAATTTTTCTTTTTAAATTCTCTTCACAAATGAGAAAAAATTAAAAATTGGATTGTCGACTTTCTATTAGGACCCAGAGGAAGATGACGAGGATGATGAACCTAAGAAGAAGAATGCCAAAATGTCGTCTGCCGCTAGAAACAAAAGTCAGGCTAACAAGAACAAGAAAAAATAAATTTTGCGCGCCTTAAAAACGAAAAGAAAAGAATTGCACAGAAGGAAAAAAGAAAAACACTCATAGGCTAGGCTTTTAACAAATAAGTTTACAAAAAAAAACACTATTATTTTGTGTTTCAGCGAATTTTTAATATCAATATTTTCATGAGCTCGCAATTATTGTTGCGTGGACATTGTTAAATGCCTGATTTTTTTCGATTATTGTACTATATATATATATTTTTTGAAAAACAAATTTTTTTTTGTTTGTTTTTAACAGTCTGAGTGTGATTTTGAAATATTGAAAAAATTTCTAGTACAATTTTTTGTTTATGTATATTTTTTTTTTTAAAGTATGGAGACAAAACTGATTCTTAAGAAACCATCTAATTGAGAAAGTCTTTTTACAATTTTATTATCACGAAAAAAAGTCTTGAAGTTTTTATATTAATTTTTTTTTGTCATGACGAATTAAATATATTTTGTAAAAGTCGAAGTTTTTCTCTTTTGATAAGCGACAAATAGTGTTTGTCAAAGCAGACACGATTGAATTGTAAAATCAGTAACTTATGATTGGATATACGTGTGATGTACTTAAGTGATTAAACTAAGTTTGGACAAAGTTTTTTTGTACTTCTTCAATTTACAATCGTTTACTAATCTTGATTTTAGCAAAATACGAAATTGTTTTATTTTTTTTTAAATCATTCAGTTAAATGATTGTCCATTTAATTCCAATAAGTTTCTATTGAACTTTTTATAAATTTTTCATTCAGATTTTTAAGTCTTTGTATTTATTTTTATTTACTTTTTGAAATTCTTTTTCTTTTTTTCTGAAAAAATGATCGCACACGTATAATTTTTGTTTTTTCAATTCTTTACCATATACTTCCAATGAATGAAAACAAATAATAGAAATAAAGTTGCTTATTATTAATTCATAAGTCATTGATGAACAAGATAATGAGATAAAAAGTATTCTGTGTGAGAAATTTTGAGTTTAAATAATTATAGGATTTTTTGATATGAAAAGAAAAATGGAAAAAAATGAAAAAGAAAGAAAATAATTGCTGCTGCATGTGATTGAAAGAAGAAAGAAAGTTAAGATAAACAAGTAGTGTTTCTTTATAAATAGTGTTACCAAAAATCCACGTAGATTATAATTCATTCCACTTAAATGAGAATTATTATTTTTTTGATTGAAAACAAAAAAAAATGAATAATTAATCATGCACACATTTCAATATTTTTATTCGAGGCGTGAATTTTCAATTTTGTACATAAATGATACACAAATAAAATTCAAGAGAAATTTTTAATCGATTTTCCTCATTAACATTGAGGATAAAATTCCTTAAAATAAAAATTAATTTTAGACATATAATGTGAATCATCTATTGATAATTGTTTTGCGTGAATAAATTAATTTTTAATTCGTAAATTGGAATTTTTTTATTAACTCTATTTATTTTTTAATTAACTCTATATTTCTTGGAATTCGGTTAAATATTTTTTAATTAATGATTATTAATTTATTTCAATTGAAAAGTTATTAATTGAAAATATTTGACGGTAGGAGTTGTAAAATATTAATTAAATTAATATTTATTAATATTAATTAATCAATTAGAAAATTAATTATTAATTAAATTAATTTAATTGATCTCTATGAAATGAGAGAGGTTTTTTTTATTTGAAATTTGGGGAATATTTTTAAATTGAGACTTATAAATAATATTAATTAATTGACAATGAAATTTGAACTTAATTTTTGTTTTCAACACTATAAAAAGTTTTTAAAGGTTACGTCAGTTATTTATTTCATTTTCTTTTGTCATGAATATATATTGAGTCTTTATTTTTGACATTAAAGAAATGTTTTTAATTTTTAAAAAAGAAGTTTAATTTTTTATACTTGTTAAAAATGTACATTTGTAAAGTTTTCAGTAATTTTTTTTACTGTTACATTTTTAGTTATTAATAATTTGGGAATCATTTATTTATTTAAATTTCAGTTCAAAATCCAGGTATGTTATTTTACTTGCTTTTACTTATATTTATTGAATTTATTTTCTCTCTTTAAATATTAATTTATTAAATTTATTTTTTTCTGTTTAAATTTTATTTTATTAAAATTTACTTTTCTCTTTAAATTTTAATTTATTACATTTATTTTTTTTCTTTAAATTTTAATTTATAAAATTTATTCTCCTCTCTTTAAATTTTAATTTTAGATTAAAAAATTCACTTAAATCTGATGATATGCAGAATATTCCTGTTGATAATACAAATTTCAGTGAAAATTCCTCATTAAAATGCAAATCATCTAAAGAAATTGGAATTTTAAAGGAACATGTAAATAAATTTATGTAAAAATTTCTAATATATTAAAATTTATTTTGTTTTCTCAGGATTAATTGTTACAATAAATTGACAAATAACATTTCTAAACAGAAAGTTATAATTTCTTATTTATGAAACAAATTTTAGTTCTAGTAAATTTTATTTATCTTTGCTTAGCTGATTTAAATTATCAATATAATTTAATTTCATTATTTTTATATTTCACAATTTTAATTTTAAGTTATAAATGAAAAATAAATAATTTTAGGTATTAATAAAACAAATTCCTCTTTACTTATAGAGGCAATATTTTTTATTTATTATTATTTCTTGTATAAATAAAAATAATGATAGAATAATTATTTTCAAAAATAATTTTTAATTATTGTATTTTTTATTTATTATTATTAATTACTTTTGGTATCCATCACTTTTTATTATTTATTATTATTAATTAATTAATTTTAATAATTTAATAATTATAAATTATTATGAATAATATTTATAAACAAAAAATATAATAATTTTTAATTTGGCATAATTTATAAATTAATAGCAATTTTATTTTTCCAAAAGTTAGCAGGAGTTAGGAAAACTGCTTTAGAATTAGAGTCAACGATTCAATTGAAAGATTCTCATGTGGATAAAGTACGACGAGATAATGAGAGATTATTACAAGAATTGAAAAAGCAGCAAAGAACGAACAAAAGTATAAAACGTAATTAAAAGTTTTCTCTGAAATAAGAGCGTCATATCCCCTTTCTTTTGCTTGAACAGAATGTTTCCCTGCAAGACGGGTAATCTGATAGAAGGCGATTCGACGTCGATAAGGCAGACACCTTCTAATTTATCACCGGGAAATTCAAAATCACAATTTTTCTTCATTTTTTCACTATTCTTATTTAGTTAATTATTAATTAATTATAGTTAACATGAATAATTAAATAATTTAACAACATTATTAATATATTAACTAATTAATTTTAATTTAAATATTTAAATATATTTACATAAAGGATTTTAATTCCAGAACAACTGGATGATGAGAGATATTTTTATCAAAAAGAAAAAGATCATTATCAACGGGAATTGGAAAATTACAGGAAAAAATACTCGGGAAGTATTTCAAAATTTCATTATGATGAATGTGAGAAAATGAAAATTCATTTTGAAAATGAAAATTCTAATTTAAAAAATAAATTAAACGATAAAAGTCAAGTAATCTATAATCTTTGTGTAAAATTTTTACGTATGAAAATAATTAAAGAAAAAGTTGAAAAAAAATTAGATCGTCTCACTAATGAGCATTTTCAATTAATGTCAGAGATGATGGAAAAATTGGATGAAGCACAAGAGGAACTCAAGTTAATTTTTTGTGATGAATTTCTTGAAAAATTGCCAATTGATAAATTAAAATATCTTCAGGTGAAATAATTTAATTTTTATACAGAAAATTAAAAGAAAAAAAAGAATGAAAATAAATATAAATAAGAATTAAAATTTTTTATTTTTATAAGATCATTTTACAGAAGAAAATAAATAAAAAAATATTTAGAGTGGATAAAAAATATAAAAAATAAATGAGAAATTGAAATACAAAATAAAAATAAAGAGTATAAATATGAAATAAAAATTATAAATTAATATTTAAATAAAAAGTTTATAATAAACATTATAAAAAATAAATATAAAATAAAAGAGATTTTTTATTGAACAGATTGTAAAAAGAAACAGTCGTCTAATCCATGAGAATACATTATTGAAGTTACAAATTCAGCATCTTTTGCAGACAATCGATAAATTTAGGAATGAGTCAGAAAATTCAAAAACAGAAAAAATTGATCCTAAAACAGTTGATAAATTACTAGAACGTGAGAGAAAAACACGTGGAACACAATATTTTCAAAAATTTTCCCAATTGTTAGTAAAAAAATTGTCAAAATTTACTTCAAAGTAATCTCAAAATCTCGATTTTTTTTCCTTTATTATAAAAAAAATATAAAATCTAGATATAGAATTTTTAAACTGAAAAGCAAATCTCGTCATTTTTAAAAATCTATAAGATTTAATTTTAAAAATTGAAAAAGTTGAAATTTCTGAATTTAAAATTATTACATTCGAAAATTTGCAAAATTATATGAAAATTAAAGAGAATTTTCTGTTTTCTTTTTTTTTCTTTATTTCTTCTTTTATTTTATAAAGAAAATTTAGGAATTCGTTCTAGGAAACAATGATTTCTTATGCTGAGATTACGTTTGTTTCAGACCGTTTAGGGAGAAAATCGAGACTCAACTTTATTCTAATATGGAAACTTGCCGGCGTGTTGTCGATCAATCGGGTGACGCTAACTTGGTAACGAAACTTGATGAAAAACATTGTAATCAACTTTTGGAAATGGAAAAAGAATTTTCAAAGTCTAATCATGATTCTCGGCATTTCATTGGTTCAGAAATTCAATTCACTCAAAGTTCACCGGCAATCGTTCAATCTTCAATATTTCAGCAAAATATTTTATTTTGAAGAATGGTGTACTGTACAAGTATTTTTTGAATGAAATCCCAATGTTTGCTTCGTATAGCAACGAACAAGGAACGAGGGAAAAGAATTTTCATTTTTTTAGGGGTATATTTAAATAATACAAAGAAAAGTATTTTTTGTTTTCTTTTTTTGGGTTTCAATTTATTTTTTAAAGTAAGGAAAACATTTCAGAAGAAAATATATATATGGTAATGTGTACGTTTTATTATGTACAGAAATTATTTATAACTATTTTTAAAAATTTTTTAGGCTATTTTACCTGTGTATAATTATGTAAATGAATAAATAATTGTAAAATATAATTTATTTTTCCTATACATTTATTTTTTATTTTCTTATATTTTTAGAAGAAAATATTTCACAATACATTCTTTTATACAAAAATAATGAATAATTTACTATATTTTTTCATTTTAAGTTTAATAAAGTAAAATAAATACTTTCATAAAAGTTTATTTTAATACTGTCATTATTTTTTTAAGTTACTTTAAACCTGTAAATAAATAAAAAAAATACATATAAAAATAAATTAATATTGGAAATTTTATTTTTCTTATAACGTACTCTAAAAAAAATTATTTGATTCAAATAATCGATTACTTCTCTATTATCAAATAAATATTTCCTTAAATCAAATAATTTTTATTTAAATCAGATAAACAGTAGGTGTTTGGTTCAAATATTGAAATTATTGTTTTAAATACAATTTATTTGATTTAAATAAAAATTATTTGATTTAAGTAAATATTTGTTTGATACGAGATAACTAATCGGTTATTTGAATTAAATAAATTTTTTATTTTTATTTTCACTAATTTTCAAAATTAATTCAATTTTAAAATTAAATTAATTCAATTTTATAAAATTTCAATTTTAAATGAATTTAATTAGAAATTTTAAAGAACTTAAATGTTTGAAAAAATGTAATAATTTAAAATCTTCTAAAATTAGTTAAATTTGTCAATATATATTTAATTAATTATTAAAAATAATGGATTTATAGAAGAATTTTAGTTAAAAACACTTTAAAAAATTGAATCTTGAAGAAGTTAACAAATGATTGCAGAAATTCAATTATTTTCAAAAGTAATAAAATTATTATCACAAAATTCAATTATTTTCAAAATTGAAAAAAACCTCGTCAAAATTTCAATTATCTTTATAAATAATAAAATTCTTCTTCAAAATTCAATTATTTTCAAAAATTTTAATAAAATTCTTGTCAAAATTTCAATTATTTTCAAAAACTTTTCTCAATTCAATGATTTTAATTATCTACTATTTTAATATAGTTTTTCCAAAGAATTCAATTATTATTTGAAAAAAAATTTAATATAATTTCACAGGAATTCAATTATTTACAAATTTTTTATAAATTATTTCGCAATAATTCAATTATTTTCATAAATAATAAAATTGTTTACAGGGATTCAATTACTTTTAATACTATTTTAATCGAATTCCTCGAAAAATGTAAAAATTGACAAAAATATTTTATTACAATTCGTCGAAAGAATTTAATTTATTAAAAATTTATTGATAAAATTCTTTATGAGAATTCAATTTAAAGAAACATTCAATTATTAAAAAAAATTATTTATTTTTATATTTAATTAAAAAAAGGTTTGATTTTGAAATTTTTGAAAATCTCAATTCCTATGGAAAAATAAAAATAATTAAATAATTATTTTAAAAAGAAGTTATTGATGTTTTTGAATAATATTTTGCAATTAAAGAAATTCGTTAATAATTGTTACAGAACATTTTTTTAAATAAAATTGTTTTATTTATTTTCTTAAAATTCAAAAATTTTCAATTTTATTCTCGATTAAAATTTGTAATTGACAAATATAGAATTTATAAACATTTTTTTCCTTTATTTTTGAAAAACTTTGAATTTTATTAAAAGAATGTTTTTTCCCCAAAGTTCAATTATTTTCAAATCAGTATCAAATTCCTAAAAGCAGTACGCAAACATTTAATTATTTTTATAAATAATAAAAATTTCTCAGGAATTCAATTATTTAGGTACTAATTTTTTTATAAATTCCTCCGCATTAATTCAATTATTTTTATAAATAATAAAATTTTTTTAAGGAATTCAATTATTTTCATAAAAAATAATTAAAAATTGTAGAAAATAATAATTTGAAAAAGTTACTGTAATAATATTCTTATAATATACAACAATGATTTTATCACTCGGTCATCTTTAATTATTATAAAACATTCTTATAAAAGTTATTGAATTTAAAAAGATTTGAATTTGAAATTTTTTAAATTCTTAATTCCTATGGAAAAATAATATTGGTTAAATATTTATTTAAAAAAAAAGTTATTGATGTTTTCGAATAATTTTACAATTAAAGAAATTCGTAAATAAATGTAACAGAACATTTTTTTGAGTAAAATTTTTTCCTTTATTTTCTAAAAATTGAAAAAGTTTCAATTTCAATTAAAATTTGTCCTAATTGACAAATAGAATAGAATATGTAATGTTTCTTGTTATTGAGAAATATAAATTATGCTTAAAATGAGTAGGTATATTTCCTATTTCTTAATTATAATTTTTTAACAATTAACAATTTTCTCATATTTTTTATAAATAAAAAGGAGAAAAATAAACAAAATTTATTTGTTAATCATAATTTTTTTATATTTTTTAATTTCAAATATTGTTTTATTATAAATTATGAACAAATACCTGCATATTTTCGAATTTGTCAAACAATATTTTTTAAAGAAAAAAAAAACAAAAGCATACACAAAAACTGACTTCAAAGTGTGGACGGAATGAAAGAAAGAATAAGACGATTATTACATAGTTAATTAATTAATTAATAATAATAATTAATAAATTAATTAATTATTCCTGTTTAGAATATAATGTAAATAAAATGAAAAGAATGTAAAAAATGGTGAAAAAGAGCCGGTAGCCCTTTATTAAAGGGTTGCTACAGAACCTGGAAAACCTGGAAAACCTGGAAAAGTCAGGGATTTTTTAAAAAAGGTCTGGAATACCTGGAAAAGTCAGGGATTTTTTAAAAAAAGGTCTGGAATACCTGGAAATGTCATGGAAATTTGAAATGCCTGGAATTTTATTCCACTTAATATTTTTTACTACATTTTTTCTTTTAAAAAATGATGTCTTGGAATTCCTGGAAATGTCCTGAAATATCCTTGAATTTTCCATATTTTGCTTTTAAATATTCAATAATTTAAAAATTTTACTCAAATTTAAAAAAATAATTTTTTTGATCCATCAAAAAATAATTTTAATTTGTCGTTTGATTAAAGAATCTGATATCTATATTATATAATATTGATTTTTAACTCTTTTTATAATAAAATTAATATTTTTGTTCAAGTAGGTTAATTTAAATTATGTTAATCGTAATATGAAATAATATTACACATGTAAATGTCCTGGAAAAATAAAAAATCTGTCCTGGAATGTCCTGGAATTTTAAGTCATATTTTCAGTAGACACCCTGTCTGTGCTTTAATAATCAAATAGAGATAATCTAACGTGAATATTTTTATAATACAGAAAAATTCTAATTTATATAATGTTCAAAAGGTGACCTGGAAATTTATCAGATTTGGTACTGGAAAACCTGGAAAAGTCATGGAAATTTAAAAACAGACTTCTGTAGCAACCCTGTTTAAGTTCCGCTGTCTCACTTGTGAGTAAAGAGTCTTGCAGCCATCTATCGATATAATTATAGAGTCGAACTGTCCGACAGAAAATATAATGGCGCGAAAATTGAAATTACGAAAATAAACTAAAGAAAAATATATCTCTTTTGTACGACTAATTATATGTATATACCATAATAAACTGAAAATTTATATTAAAACGACTTCTCTATAAGTGAATATTCAATTTGCGTCTCTCGACTGAGTTGTATATATAAGAAATTCTTTTCTCTCAATAACTGTGATTGTAATTGGAATAAATTATAATTCATTAAGTATTAATTGGAGAATGGTTAGTAGATAAGGGTTTATGGAAAAGGTGGCATGTCCATTTATAATAACAACCGTTGCCGCGCCCGGGAGATAATGCATAAGACACGTTAAGGCTTCCCGTGCTCAATTGGTTATGAGCTAACGAAGAGAGAAAAGAGAGAGAGAGAGAGAGAGCGAGCGAGAGAGAGGGAGGAGGGGTGGTGGACGTCTCAATTTTCTACTCGGCTTAATGACCGATCGTTAAAACCCCGACTTCAGTTCTTGAACCGGCTTTGAGCATTTCAAGAGAGCTCGTCCTGCGTATATATTGAAACCCACACCTGCACATCCTTTAGCGAAGCAACATCCTACTAACGTAATCACTGCTGTTCCTCGTAATGACGTTTATAAACCTTTGGTCGAGCTTCGTCGCTATATAGCCATTCACCAATGGGCATATCAAGACACCACTCAAAATACTTGTGTGTCTAATGTCTTAATTACTATACACATTCTTCAATTATCTTGTATATTTCAATGTGCTTGTAGTTGTCATTTTTTTCCTCATTATCATAATTAGGGTTAAGCATATATACCTTGTCTTAAGAGTGATCCGCGCAGTAGTTGCAGGAAAAAGAAGTTGCGTTTTTATGTTATCTTCTATATAGGGGAATATTATTGTTTTATTATTTCTTTGCAAAATTTTAAATGTTGCTCTGCAATGTCCAGACAATATTGTTAAAATATCTCGATATATATTTTAGGAAATTTTAATACATTTCCGTATTTTTTAAAAATATTTTAAAGTTTCTCAAAGAAAAGAAATAAAATTTCTAAACACGTTTCCTTTTATATAATATTATTTCATGCATAGTTATTAAAAATTTGAAATGTCGCAAAAAGTTTTAAAATCCCAACAAAAACATCTTTGATGCAAAAAATTTTTGTAATTGTCCAAATAATTAGGTACTGAAAATAAAGTTTACCAAGTAAAATTTATAACTAAAGTTTTTATATTGATTTATTTTTAT